AGACTGCCAGGGGGCCGCGGGCAGGGACCCGGGCATCCTCAGGCGGGCGAGCCTCGCCCGGGGGGGCTGTCACGGGCAGGTCAGAGGCCCGCTCAGCACGGCGAGGTCAGTGCACGGTGAGTCCGTGTGTGGAGCATCTGTTCGGCAGGAGATAAGAGAGAGAAACCAGGGCAACGCGTGGAAAGGCAGGCGTTTCAGAGTGAGTGGAAGGGGCGGGCTGCCAGAGAGGTGGAGCCCGTGGTGCGGGGCCGAGACAGACACGTGTGTGGACCTCGGCCCCTCCGGGTGCCTGGCAGACGGGGGGCCCCTCAGAGCAAGGGGCGCGCAGCCTCCCAGGAGCCCGCGGGGTGAGCGCACCGTCGTCGTCCGCAGTCCGCACGCACGCAGTTTGCTGCCTCTGGACGCCGCTGGGACTCCCAGCCTACCCCTACTGTTCCGGCCTGTCAGATGGGTGTGCAGACATTTGGGGCCAATCGGCTGGGGTTGTTACATTTTGCTTTGTTTGATCGGCTTTGCTTTGGCTTCGTCAAGTCTCCTCCGCCTAATGAGGTACCTCCACTTCACACGTTAGCCTCTTTCAACAGATTTTGCTTTTGTTTTCATGGTCCTACTGGGTTCACCCTTCTGTCCACCTCATCTTGTTATTGAATAAAGTACATTGCTCTAAAATATTATTTCCAAATTTTCAAAATGTTCCCTTGTTTTTGTTGTTACATGTGTGAGTTTGTTCCAGCGTGGCTGGTTCTCTCTCTTTTAATGGCCTTGACTTTCTGCAGCTGTCGAGAAGGACTCGTGCATGCCCCTTGGTAGGCAAGGTTTCAAATTAGACGACGTCTTTCGTTCTTCGCACAGCTTGCCGGCTCCTGGCTTACCCTCCGTGGCTTTTCAGTGAGACTGGGGAACACGGAGACCCAGACACGGACCCATCAGCTCGTCGTCCGTGAAGGTTCTTGTCCCCCACCCAGGCCACCCTTGCTGGGCCGCGAGCTTCTGCCGAGTCGGGTGCACACTCCGCCAGCCGCCGCTGCGTCCCAGGAGGGGATGCGCAGGGCTCCGCTGCCTGCCCCAGTAGCGGCAGCAGCGGCCGCACTCTCCGCTGCTCCAGGGACCCCGGGAGGTCCTGCCTGCACCTCTTCCCACGTCCCCACAGGGTGGTGGTGGCCCTTCCGAAGCAGTGAGGTCCCTCCCACTTGGGGGTCACCGTTTCCTTCCTGCATCTCTCTGTGCCGACGACTGCTCGGAGCTCCGGCCCGCCCGAGGTTGCTCAAGGTTCCCTCGTTCTGCTCACTTGTTACGAGTGTGGCTTTCAGGAGCGGGGCGCTGCGGGCGGACGGGTGTGCTTGTTTCGCCGCGCTGACGTGAAACCCAGCATCTCACCCCGGCGGTGTGTCGCGACCCAGAGCCGGGGCAACGGGGGTCTCGGCTTGAGCGGCAACGGCCTTTTCAGGGGCCTTGTTAAGGCACTGAAATGATGCATGTGTAGGGATTAAAATTTCAAATAAACGCAGCCTTTGACAGAGCAATTTCCGTTCTGGGAATCTGACCAATGTTGTTAACGATACCATTATATTAAGATGCTTAGTTAAGGGCATGTATTGAAACAGCAGAAGGCTGGGCGCCGTCTGGATGCCCTTCGGAACCGCGGGCCACGTTCCGGTCTGTGGCCGCCACTGCAGTGGTTGTGCGGCGACTGCAGAGAACCAGGGAAACATGCGCACACGGGCTCCCGGTCCAGCCGTGCACAGCCTGTACATGGGAATGCCGTGACTGAGCAGTGACAAAACACGACAAACAAATGGACGACAGCCAGACAGACAGATACAGTCTGTCTGGCCGTGTAAATGTACACACATTATATATATATATATATATATATATATATATATATATATATATAGAGAGAGAGAGAGAGAGAGAGAGAGAGAGAGAGAGAGAGAGTCTGTATATAACGCACGCGTGTGTATAAAGATAGAAATCTGACCCGTAACTACGAGCCCAGGGAACTGACACTTGAGATCGCCACCCGCTGTTTACAGCTCAGACTTGCATGAGGTCCGACGGCCGTCTCCAGTTACCCGTCTAGGAAGCCCGACCATAAACCCTTATGACAACCGAACAATGGCCAAGACCTGACGAACACCTGCCAGCCCCCCTGGTTTGTGTCTCTCAACTTAGAGCCCCCCAGAGAATGCCAGATACACACCCCTACCCAACCGCACAGGGCCCCCTGCTCCTAGCTAGCCCACCGGCCTACAGCCCCCCGTCAGGGTGCGCCTGGAGCCCGCCCGGGTCCACTGTGAAGCCTTCCCACCCCGCTGCCCGCCCAGCACGGTGCCGGGGGCCGGGGCTGCCCCCGTTGCTGCAGCAAGTTCCGAATAAACAGCCGTCTTGTTCTCAGCCAGTCTTTGTTTATTTCCCACACCTATAAAGTACAATGTTGCTTGTAAAACTGCATCATACAGCGCTGGCTGATGTGGCTCAGTGGGCTGAGCACCAGCCTGCAAACCGAGAGGTCGCCGGTTCAATTCCCAGTCAAGGTACCGGTCTGGGTTGCGGGCCAGGTCCCCAGCTGGGGACGTGCGCAAGGCAACCGATTGTTTCTCTTGCTCTCTTTCCCCCTCCCTCCCCCTCTCTCTACAAATAAATGAATGCAATCTTCTTTCAAAAAGTAGAGTGTATAGCCCATAAATGATTGTGTACATTTAAGCAAACAACGGAAGGACAATGCCCCGATTTTGTGAAGAGTGATTGCATCAGGGCTGCGGGACGGTGTATGTCAGTTTCACAATGCAGATGACTCACATGGAAACGTAACGTGGTGCGGGAACCCACCCACGCACACACGGGGCTGACTGTATACAGAAAATAATCCTAATGGTGCTATTTAACACAATGGTTCACTTCCCCTTCGTGAACATGTTTATCATGCTGAGTGGCCCGTGGGGCTATTTTGGGAGCCACCTGCCAGTCCTCGCCTCTGTGTGCGGGGCTGCCAGGCCAGAGAGTCCTTAAACATGACGAGAAAACAATTTATGTTTGAGCTGCGAATATTCAGCTCAGCGAGAAAAAACTCGGGATGCTTTCCCGCCCTTCTTTTCAGCATTCACCCTGTGTTTCCTCCTCAAGTTCGACCGGGGCCACGCTGAAATGTACTTGAGTTTTATCTTAAGTGTCGCTGGAGCCAAAGGAACAAAGGGTTTTCCTTATCACCCCCTTCCTGCTGGACTTCCTAATGTATTTGATTCTCGGCTATTAACCCGGGGAACCTGTGTGCACAGTCAGTCACTTTATGCTTCTTAAGACCCTGCAGGCTTAGGCGTGTGTCGACATTCTGAGAAAGATTATTAGTTGTTTTTTTCCCTGGTACTGAACAGTGTGCACCAATATCCCGTGGCGTGTGCCTCAAAGACGGCGAGGAGATCAGCCGGCGAAACCACTGGGGGGCTCAGCCATCCTCCAGGAGCGCGTTTGCCTGCAGGGGACCGCCCTGGGGGAGAACTTCTGGCGGTACCCGGTGGTCTCCGTGACGGGGCGCGAAAGCCCCGCCCTTTGGTGGACCACTGAGCTCTAAACCTCTTCAAAGAGGTTCCAGTAGCTTTCAGCAAGCGGAACGTGCGTAACTGCGAAACATAATTGGCATCAGCTGCAGCGGAGTTCAGCTCTGACGGGGTGTTTGAGGGAACTCACAAGGGCGTCAGCTGTCCCAGACCTTTCACTGTCTCCGTGGTAACAAAAAATGCTTGGCGTAGAGAGCGCAAAAAGAGGAGGAATCATGTTTTTTTAATCCAAAGCTGTGTATATGATTTTTCCCTATTAAGGGTCTTCTAAGCTAAGAAACGCAAGGTTTATAAGTGAAATAAAGTTAGTGTATCGGTCTGTTAAAACTATCTTAATTCAAAGAGTTTACTTAAGATTTTCTAATTATTTTAGAAATCTAAAGATATATTGTCAATCCGTAAATAACTTCTGGTAAGCATTCACCATTCTACTTGTCTGTATAAATAATAAAAAAAAAACAAGGTCCCATCTCTTCCCAGGAGAACCTGAGGAACTCACATGGAAATTATGTTTCTTATCTTGCTTAGGGCACATGCATCAATCATACCAGTAACCATGCACAAAAATTACAAAGTAGCTCGTCAAACCATTACTATTCATAATGGCCACTGGGGCAAGAAACTACTCCAAGGCTTTGAGTTGACATTTAAAATAAATTTTCATAATAAACAAACACGGTTCTTCTTAAAAACACGTGTCCTGCCTGTTGCAAAGCGCGTGAAGGTGGAACCGTGGGCGCAGGTTAAGCAGTGACCACACGCCAAGGGACAGGGTATGTATATAATCTCCGTTATTGAGAAAAAGTAATTTCTAAGTATATTAGTTATTTCTCCCTCTGAATTTAACTCAATGTACAGTTACTCAAATTTTCACTTGTTTTTGACAGAAAAGGCAGAGGATTAGTGGCCACAGAATTCCAGTTACGGTGTCTCCACTGGCTGAAAAAACACCACGCTTAGAATTGTACATAAAATCTCACAGTAACTTTTTGGCGGTGCCTGTGTAGGATTCCAATGACTAGAAATGCATATTTGGGGACCTTTTTCGTTTTTAGGACAGGTTGTTTGGACTGACTGCCCTTTGCGAAGGTGGAGGGGACAGGAAAAGCACTGCTGGCTGGCGTGAAGGTGTCGCGCGGTTCCTGAGCTGCTCTGGTGTCTGGTTCCTTCCCCGTGGGATCTGTGCAGCCCCGCCTCACTGGTTGCCATGGCCGCGGAAAACTCATTTTAAAAACATCTTCATTGTGAGTGGGGCAAAAGGCAGCCTTTTAAGTGAATGTAAACTCTTCACGTGATGAAAAACATTTTAATGATGAGTATTTAAGAAAATATCGGTATCCGATATAATAAAACTAAAAAGTTACACGCGTGATTGCTGTTTTGCCCCCACTCATAAAATATAAGCATTGCTCTAGCTTTTCATATAACATGACTTTATTCTGATTTTTAAAAAGTGACATATGGTACTTATTACAACACGTGGGACCATACTAGCGAGGGACCCCGACAGCTCCATTCTGGTCTCCGCCCCCCCACCCCCATCGCCACAGCTGAGGGGGGGCCTTTCTCAGCTTCGGGACCCGGAGGTCCTGCAGGGGAGGAGGCTGATGTTTGGGGGTCCCCAGGGCAGGGACCCCCTTGTTTGGGGGTCCCCAGGGCAGGGACCCCCTGGGGCGCCCGCCTTGACTCTAGGTGGAGCCGCCATCTGAGAAAGTGGGGGTGACAGAGCCCCACCGGCACTCTGAGGGGAGCCCGGGAGGTGCTCCCTCACCTCCACGGCTCTGCCATCATTGCCAGTGGAAGCCCCGCCTCGGACCGGGGACACTCTGTGCCGGACCGCGGCCAGCGAACCTCGCACGAGGGCCGCTGCCGCTGGGGCAGGACTGTCACGGTGTTTCACCCCCAGACCGTTCTAGGTGGCCTCCAGGGACTGTGGTGGCCCGAGGTCCCTGGCCTGAGCTGGCCACCAGCCCCTCGCACAGGTGGCAGAGCTGAGCGAGCCCCCTCAACCCTCCCTCCGTGAGCCAGCCTCCCCTGGGCCGCCCTGCTGCGACCAGGGACCCGAGGGGCCTGTCTTCGGCTCCATCTCCATCTCCATCCGCAGCGGGGGCCGGCGGAGAGCTCTGCGCACACCTGGCCCGTCTCTGGCGACCCCAGCTTCCCCCCAGGCCCTGCAGAGACGGAGAAGGAAGGCCTTTTCAGCAGCAGGCGGTCCCAGGAGAGGGACCCCGGCCCCGGGTGCAGACTGGCAGGAGGCGCTGGTGCCGTGGGCCCTGGCTGCCGCCCCGCTCAGGACGGGCACTCAGCCTGCTTGGAAGACGCCCGTGAAGACACCCACCGCTCCCACTGCACAGGCTGCGGCGTGGGTCGGCACGACTCCGAGTCCGCTTTCACAGCTCCCCACACAGAAAATGGAAATAGGGCTGATGGAAAATCAAATTAAAAAACAAACCTGGAACACACAGAATACATAAGGAAGAAAAACGTACCCATATTTCTCTTACGCAAGGGTCACTCTTGCCGTGATTTCACTGCGGTTTCTTCCAGCATTAGTAAATAGATACATTCATTTCGTTTGTTTGTTACATGCGAAGAGCCTTCCCGGGGGTTGGCAAGGAGGGGATGCGGGAAAAGCACGGCTGAGAAAGGTAAGAGGATGAACTGTCAGCGCCCTGCGGGACCGGACGCCCCGCGCTGCGGTGGTCGCGCCTCTGAAAGTCGATGGAACACCTTCAGTGTGTGTGCTGGGTGTCCCGGGCTGAGTGGTCTTTCGCTTCCAAGTTCCTACGCCGAGGGGCTAACCCCCCGTCCCCGAGGACGGGACTGCGCTGGGAGATAGGATCTGAAAAGGGGTGACCCAGGTACACAGAGGCCATGTGGCTGCGCCCTGATCAGCCCCACTGTGCCGGTAATCGCGAGAGCAGACGGAACCACAGACACACACAAAGACCACGTGAAGACGGGCCAGGAAGACGGTCATCTACCCGCCAAGGAGCGGCTCTGAGGAGGCCAGCCCTGCCCCCGACCCTGGATGTCAGACTCTGTCCCCGGGATGTTAAAGCCACCCAGTCTGGGGCACCGTGTCATGTCAGCCCCAGGACACGAACTCACTGAGAACAGGCGTCCAATGACCGTCATCCACCCGTATCCGATATGAGGAGCTCGGAGTCTCCCAGAGTTACTAACGTGGCCAGAGTCCCGTAAGCCTTGCCGTAAAAAGGACACTGCGTCTTTAACCCGAGTCAGCATGCAAGCTGCCATCCTGCCTGGGGCATTTCTGAGTTCTGGTGCTATTAATACACACTGGGCGGGGGGGGCAGTGAGTGTAAACCAGGTCATGCATCTAAAGTGCGTGTCCCGGGTTCCCTGAAAGGCCAGGGCCTCCCTCCTGGGCAGGTGGTCCTGGACCTGGCCCAGCCGGAGCACACGGTGTGTCACAAGGTTTAAGGGGATGGTGCCAAGTCATATGTCGCCTTTTTCCATGAGCACCCACCAAAGACATTTCTAATTTTAGCACCAAGAATAATTGTGGTTTCCCAGAGCAGTCCGTCCATCGGCTCAGTTTACCTTCCGGAGACAACGGCCTGTGCGACCGGCCGGGTCCCCTGTCCCCGCGAGGCTGCCGGGGGCAGGGAGCTGCGCCCGGAGTCGCTGGCCGAGGCGAGCGCCTGGACCGGCAGGACGTGCCATTCTCTCGGTCTCGTCTGGTTTCCTGCCCTCCGCTGCGTCTCCTCGCTTACTCCCTGCGCCTCTGCCTCGGCGTGTGTTCTGTTAGGGGTGTGACGCCGCTGGTGAGCCACCTTCCTTCCTCCCGGGGAGCAAAGTGGGCTCTGGAGTCAGTCGCTCACAGACCACCTCGCTCTCTCCCCGAGTTCAAGACACGCCCCTGCCACCCAGCTTCCCTCTTACGGGAGCCCCCGTTGGCGCCCCAGGTGTGCGTGGGTCCTGGGTCCCCAAGCCCGTGGGCAGCCGTGTGGAACCCGCGGGGCACAGACAGAGCAGAGGGGCCACCGGGAGGAAGCCCACCCGGGCCGTGCAGGTCGTGATGCCGGCCCACGTGCCTCCCTGCAAGGAGAGGGAGAGCAGTCTTCCCACCCCCAAAATAAAAACCCTGCAATCATGTGTTTTTTTAAAAAAAAAAAAAAAAAACACAAACAGTTCTCTAAACCATAACACCACCACAGGTCGCCTGTAACTATAATGTGCTACTTTGCTGAAATTACCCTGGATCATAGAGAATAATTCCGGGTTTATTACCTGTACCATGTGCACCATCCCTAAATATAGCGTTAGTTCCCGCTGCTCCGAACCTGGGCGCGGAGAGCGGCTGGCTGGCGTGGTGTCGGCACGGTCCTGCCGGGTGGTTCTTCCTGGCGCTGCTTTCGTTCCCAGACCCTGAACTGGAGCACACCTGCCTGCTTCTCAGAGACCCGCGGCAATGACGCGTCCCGGGGCGCTTGGCTGCGGCGAGTCCAGGCAGGCAGCTGCCGCTCCGCCGCCCGCCCCCTCCCCGCTGAGAGGGCCCCCCTCGGCCTCAGCTGGAAGAAGGAGGGGCCGGGCCTGCCACCCGCCCCCACTCAGGAGTGGGGGGGCATTCGAGGCTTGTTCTCGGGGACAAGAAGGGAAGCTCACAAGGTGCAGAGGCCTCGGGAGGAACCAGCCCTGCAGACACCCCGACCCTGGACTTGCAGCCCCCAGAACTGGGAAATACATGTCAGCTGTCCAAGCCTCCTGGTTCGTGGTACGGCAGCAGCCCTGCTGACAGGAGTGAGGACTGGGAAAAATATACATTGTATCAAGGTTCCGTCTAATCCCGCACGAATTACTCCGTATCTGATCTCTGCTGCAGACCTCTGCTGCAGGGTAGGCGGGCCACTCCTGTTCCTGGCGCCGCCCCGTAAATGAGGTCACACAAGGGGAGGCTCAGCCTCATGCAAGTCAGTTATCGACTGGGAGCGACAAAAACAAGGGGAAAAATAGAACTCATGCTTCACGTCTATGTCTTATCTTCCGACACGGTTTCTTCTACTCCTGCCTTCAGGTGCACGCACCTTGTCCACACGGAACGTGGCAGCTTCTGTCTGGCCTCGGCAGGTCTCCGGGTCCCCGTCCCACCCCGAGGCAGCGAGAAGCGCTGTCACTGGGGTGGGAGGGGGGGCCGTCAGCTCCGGCGCTGCTCCCACCGGCGGGCCTGCACTTGCGCGGCTCGCTGCAGCACCGAGGTGACAGGCGCCGCGTCCCTTTAAGGACAAGAGACCGCTCGGCCTGAGAGCTGCTGGGGTCTTCTCAGACTCCCACAGGGGACGCCAGGAGTGACGTGTGATCTCCACGGGCACTCGGGACGGGGGTGTGGAGGCCGAAGACCGTCAGCGCCACGGAGCAGAGCGGAACGCCGTGGGGCCCGTGCGAGCCGACCGCCGAGAAGGAGCGGCTGTGGACTCCGGGGTGCAGACGCGTTCGTGCTAGTTCACGCGAGATCGCTGCGTGAACGTGTGTGACTCCCGCGCTGTTTCGGGGGGGCCAGCCGCTCGCCAGCCAGCCGGTGGGTGTTTGGACAATTTCCCTTTTATGTAAAGATGCTCAGGGAGCAGTCCGTAAATGTGCCGCCGCGGAGAGAGATGGTTTGGCCCGGACCACAGTGGGGACACCCCTTCTGCGCAGACAGAGTTGTTCTGTCACTGCACCGACTTCTGGGGGACTCGCCAGCCGAGGCAACGGGTCAGCTCTACGCCCACTGCCCAGACCTTGAGGGTCCGCCCGAGTCGTACCCCCTGGAAGGGGAAGCTTGTTTTTAACCAGGAAGGTTATTGTTTGACAACATAAGGGAAAATTACCTGCATCTGAACACCACTCACGTGTGCTGTCTGCATTTCATAAACAAAACAGAAAGGCCGGGTCAGTTTGAAGACAGCTCCGAAAAGAAACGGGTTGATCCACCGGCGCGTAGCGGCGGAACAGGAAACGTTCGCAGCAGGTGAACTTCTGGCGAGGGCGGAGGTGTAGGCCCGGGAACCAGACTCCTCTCCTGGTGGGGAGTTCGGAGCCCGGGGGCAGCCGCCCCGCTGCCTGCAGCCACCACCCCTGCTCCAAGCACCCCCTGCAGGGCGGGGTCAGAAGACAGGAAGCAGGAGGAGCCGCTGGGACACCGCCTCCCGCCCACCCCTGCACCCCACCCACCAGCGAGTCCAATCGGTCTCCCTTCTTGGCCAGGTGCTGTGGTCTCTCACCTGAGCCACGGCCCCGCTGCTGCTGCCGCCGTCGGTCTTCCTGCTTCCTCCCCTGCCTGTCCCTCGGCCCATCACCAGGTCACACCCAGAGGGAAATGCAGACTGGCCGCCCCCAGTGACATCCACCCGGGGTTCCCCGTGGTCCCAGGACAAACACTGAACTTCTTCACGTCCCCCTGACCTCTCGCGGCCTGGGGCCCGTGTCTCTCCCCCTCCCCCCAGGCAAACGCCCCTCCCCTCTCCGTCCGACACCACCAGACCTCTCTCTCTCAGCTCTTTTCTGACCTCGTGTCCCTCTGCCCCGGACCTCCCCCCACTCGGTTCCAGCTCTGGAAATGCCCCCGCCGGCCCCCGGCCCCTGCTTCACACCTCCGTCCGTCTCCCCCCACACGTGCCCTCAGGTGACCTCGCACGTCTGCGTCATACCTGGTTGCACGGCTGTGGGTTCCCGTTTCTATGTGTGGCTGTATCACGCATGGTTGCCTACACCGCTATGGGTTCGAGAGCGGCCTGGCCTGTGTCGCCTGCCGCATGACGCCGTCCCGTGTCGGGAGGGAACGCGGTGACTGGGACGTGGTTGGCTGTCCGTCAACGCGTCACGAGTCCCATTCAGTGACTCGTTACAGATGCAAAGCCTTCATCTCTGTTCCCTCCGTGATAGCATGCTTTTGTGCATACAGCAGGCACTCATATCATTTCGTGAGAAAGTTTACGTGCAACAAATATGGTTACGGTTTTAATGTGTGTCTTGGAAAGGGTCGGCAGTGTGATGCGCCGTGATACTCAGCACTGTGTTACAGTGTTTGCACATGCGTGTGTCTCTTTCCAGCACTGTCTTATTCCTCTTTCTCGCCGAATTTCCACTTCAGAGTGTGTTTACGAAGTAATATTCATTAAAAGATTATTTGGCCAGAAAAACATCAAAGCTGAATTCTGTCAGTAATCTCCTACGTCTTAATTACACATGAAATCCCAAGAACCGTAATCTTCCCTGACTGATCCGGCCCACCTTTCATGTTCGTTAAAATGTTGCATACAGATGAGATTTTCCAAGCGGCCTCATCCACCTGGAAACATACACTCTCCTAGAAAAGCAGGGCACAAAGCAGTATCCCTAGAAAGAGGGAGAACTTTAAAGCAGATGGGCATGGGTTTGTAAAGACGTACAGTTCACATACAGGGCCCGGCACAAATAACGCCCCTCTCTTATTACAAACATCTTTTATTACAAAATCATGAGCGTGTGACTCTGTGGCATAATAGCACACTCCAGCACACCAAATGGCATTTTAGGTGAAATGTTCAAATTAAAACTATAACTCATCGCACCCGTATTATTGCCCCCCCCAACCACACCCGTGCAGGCCTCACTTCTGCCGGATTCTGTACATTTATGTCACTTGAGCTGCATTAATCTGAGGATGACTGGTCCACCCCGATTAGAGCACAGTGTATCAACAGTCACTCAGGCGGGCCGGGAAAGGGCAGCACAGAACGGCCCTGAACAGGTTTGATCTGCAGGAAGTGGGTGAAACGGGGCGGTGTCGCGGACGCTGCGCTCGCTTCCCTGAGCCAGGCTGGCCGGCACCGCTGTGCCGCTGGTTCTGGTCCGAGTCTCACACCTGCCCTTCCTCGGGCCCGGGCCGCACCGCCCCCCCCCCGCCCCGCGGCGTGGTGTTCACGCCGCCCACCTGTCACGGCTAATTCCGAGTCACGTCGGAGGTGGCGTGCCCGCTCTGGCTGCCGGACACGCAGGACATTGGATTTGTCGCCCCTACCTAGGGCTCATAAAACGGCGTTTTGTCCGCACGCTGGGGCCAATGGAGTGAGTTACGGCGTCATCCATCCACCCCCGCCCCGGAGTTTCACAGGGGGGTCGCACACACAGCCTCACACACTGACGTACGAAACCTAGCAACACTCGGCATTCCGACCGCGTTTGAAGTCAGGGCCAGAATTTCCCTGCTTTCATTAGTGCAATATTCACTTCTCCACGCCCAGGGGGAAAACACATTTTCTCTCCAATGTCGAGC